TCTAGTTTCAAAGCATTGTGGTCTGAAAATATGCAGGGAATGATCCCAATCTTTTGGTACCAGTTGAGACCTGATTTGTGACCTAGGATGTGATCTATTCTGGAGAATGTTCCATGGGCACTAGAGAAGAATGTGTATTCTGTAATAGCACCATTTCTTTAAATTCCTTATTTATGTAGTCTCAGTATCTCTCCTCTTGGCTTCTCATCTTCAGAAACCACTACTGCTTAAATATGATGTTCAAAACCAAACATCAAATTCCGGGTATGCTATAAGCAACATAGATTACACCGGATCATCCCTTCCTGATTCAAGAATAATATGTTGCCAAAAAAAAAAAAAGAAGAAGAAGAAATTTTTGCCAACCAGCTTCCAGCTATCAAAAGTATAGTTTAAAATTCACATTGCTGAGCAAAAATTCAGTTCTCAACTTAGGGATTCAAACCTAAAAATGTTTATTTTACTATAACTAGTTGCTATTTTACTATAGTGATTCATCTTATTTTTTTCTTGAAATCTTTAATTGTAATTGTGGATTTCATCTATTTCTTTCAATTCTATCAGTTTTTGTTTCATGTATTTTGAAACTATGTTATTGTGTGCGTATATATTTAGGTTTGTTGTGTCTTCTTAATGAATTAAAATTTTAACATTATGATATATATTCCTCTTTATCCCTGGTCATACCCTGAAGGCTACTTGGTGCAACTTTAATACAGCCACAACAGCTGTCTTTGATTCATGTTTGCACAATATATGTTTCTCCATCTTTTTGCTTGTACTCTGTTTCTTTATGTTTAAAGCAGATTTCTTATAGAAAGCATATAGTTAGGCTTTGCTTTTATGTTATGCAATCGGGTAATCTCTCCCTTTTAATGGGATTGTTTAGACCATTTACATTTAAAGCAATTATCAATATGGTTAAGCTTAAATCTAGCATCTTGCTATTCATTTTTCTTTGTCTATCAGTGTCCACTTTCTTTGGATTATGTATTTATTATGATTCCATTTTATCTCCATATTTGTTAGCTATAGTTCTGTGGGGTACGTGTGTGTGGGAGATGTGTGCATATGTGTTTATTCTAGAGTAGTAATTCTCTGATTATCGTTTTGTGGGTTTCATATTGATGCTAAGACATTATTTGCCTTTTTTATATTCATTCTTTTGTAAGTGCACAATGAAATTTTCTGCATGATGTTTGATAATGCCTTTGCTCTAGTGGTTAATAGAATATATACTTAGATATTCTTTTGTTTTAAAATTTTGTTTTGATTTCTGATATGGTGATTATTACTAGATATCACCATATGAGCACAAGCTCTTAAGGGTCCCCAATAATTTTTAAAATTATAAGGGGATTCTTAACTATAGAGAACAAACTAAGGGTTGATGGAGAGAAGTGGGTGGGGGATGGGCTAGATGGGTGATGTGTATTAAGGAGGGCACTTGTGATGAGCACTGTTATATGTAAGTGATGAACCACTAAATTCTACACGTGAAACCAATTTTACCATGTGTGTTAACTAACTGGAATTTAAATAAAAACTTGAAATGAGTAAAAAAAATTATAAGGGGATTCTGGAAGCAAAAATTTAAGAGCCACTGTTCTAGGATTTAAGTATACATCTTTAATGCATCACATTCTGACTTTATAAAATCATACTATTTCATGTGTAGAATAAGATCCTTAAGCAGTATGTTTCCATTTCTCCTATTTTCTCCTTTGTGTATTGATGTCACACATTTTAATTTTACATATGTTATAAACCCCACTGTGCATTGCTACTAATTTTGCCCTACCAGTCAATTAGCTTTGAGATTAAGAATGGAGAAAAAAACCCTTTTATATTTATTCACATATAGTCACATATTTCTCTTCTTTGTCCCTTTGACTACATTGATATTTTTACCTCATAATTTTTCTTCTACATGGAGAGTTTTCCCTAATAGCTCTTGTAGTGCAGGTCTGCTAACCATAAATCCTCTAAGTTTTGTTGGTCTAAAGACTTCATTTTTGAAACACATTTTTAGTAGACGTAAATTTTTGATTGATAGTTTCTCTCTTTCTGGACATTAAAAACGCTGCTACATTGTCTCTTGACTTGTGGGGTTTCTGATGTGAAGTCTGCTCTCACTCCTATCTCTGCTCCTCCATGTGTAATGTATCTCTTTCCTCTGTTACTCTTTTAAGCTTTTTATCACTGGTTTTCAGAAATTTTATTACAATATAACTTGGTGCAGTTTTCTTTGTGTGTTGAGCTTGGCAATCACTGAACCTCTTGGAACCTCCAGGGAACACTCTTAAGCTGGAACTGATTTAGTGATGGGTTCAATACTGAGGTGTAATTCTTCTGGTCCACTTTGGTGGGAGCTGATGTTAACTACCCACAGCCCTATGTGAGTCTTAGGGATTTGGGCCTCCAGCTTTTCCATCCCCTTGTCCTCACCTCGAGGAGTCTCCTGACATGTGCGTGCAAGTCTCAAACATGCGAGGGCACCCCCCACACATCTCCGAGGCTCTGTGTGTGGTGCGCTTCCTCGGCCCCCTGCTCCTCGAGCTCGGGTGTTCCTACCTGCCCTGGCTCACTCTGCCTGCTCAGCTCAGTGTGACAGCCGGTTCTGTGTGACATCACCCCCAGCCCTATAGCCCAGAGACTGCCCTGCACATGGGGGCACATCTCATTTCTTTCCCTTCTCTGAGGAGTCACAATCCTCTGCCTGTGGTCTGAATGTTGTCATATGTTGCAGTCTGTCCTGTTTTCTAGGACCTGTGAGAACAGGTCCTGTGGTGATAAATCCCTTCTGGGCGGAATTGGCGATCAGCTGGATTTTCTGTTTACTCTAGAGAATACATGTTTTTGGAATCCTGGGCAGGACCCGCACCTAGGTATTCTGTTTCCAAGTCAGTTTACCACAGACTATACCACCCCCTTCACCCCCACACATACACACTCATCCTCCGTGAGCACCTACCGATGTTCCATCTCATGACATTCTAACTCCCAGGAATTTAGGTAAATTGCTACACTGGCAACATAAAGCAGCAGCCTCATACCTCCCTTTCTCTCTCCCAGGTCACCAGAGGATTAAAAGATAGTGACGTTAATGAGGGTAATACTCACCCTTTCTATAACTCCTCCATAGGGCACTTTGCTGCAGAAGATGTGGCCTCTAGAGTCAAGAGTTTGAATGACAATATGGAGTCTCTCCAGGCTCGGGCTGCCAGACGGCAGAATGATCTTGAAGCCAATGTCCAGTTCCAGCAGTATCTGGCTGACCTGCATGAAGCAGAAGCATGGATTCAAGAGAAGGAACCTATTGTAGACAGCACTAACTATGGGGCTGATGAAGAAGCAGCTGGGGTAAGGTGGGCTTGGGGGTAAACATTGTCTAGTACTCACCAAATGGTATCAAATTAGACTGTGGGACAGCTATAGGCTCTGTGAGTATTATTTGGGTGTTTCCAGAGTGATAACCTTTGGCCTTTCCTTGGTTGGGATAACCTCGGAGTTGACACAAATCCTAAAAGACACACTACATTTTCCTGATCCCACAGAGATTCATAGATTCCTTAAAGATTATCTAAACCCAAAAAAGCATGACCAGAGATGAATGCCTGTCTTGGTCCCATCCTAAATTTCCCAGAATAACCTTGGGATTTCACAGACCAACCATGGTTCTAAGATGTATACAGTTTAATTACTTTATTGACATAAAATTAGGCAGACATGTTGGAACAAGAACCTCAAAGGTCATAGTTACCCTCTATGTCCACTTCTTGTTTTGTTCATTGTCTCGTGATAAGCTGGCATAGTATTTAACAAACCTTCAGCACTAAAAATAATTGCAGTGGGCATCTAAAGTTATGCTAGTGTTTAATACCACAAAATACATCATTAACAACATCCTCTAATAGCTGTGGTGTGTGTCGATAAAACTCTTGTGCAATTGTGACTTCATTTTAATTAAAGCAAATGTATTGAATATATTGAAATTGTTGATCATTTAACTCCTATTTTCCTGATACTTGCAAATTTAGAGTTAAACAACAACAACAACAACAAACCCTCTTTATTATAGATGGAAATTGTCTCTTACCCGGAATAAGGACAATTGATATAATCCAAAATAATAGCTGAATGACCCCCAGGAATGCTTAGTGCTCTTCCTGTATTCAATTCTAATGATCCTTCATCAACAAATCCAGGCTCTTCTGAAGAAGCATGAGGCCTTCCTGGTGGACCTGAGTGCGTTTGGGAACAGCATGCAAGCCCTGCGGGACCAGGCAGCGGCTTGCCAGGTGAGAAGGCGTAGAGATGCCAGGAGCCACACTCCTCGCCAGATGAAATGGGATTCTCTTTACTACTGGCTTTTACTTCTAATAACCCAGGAAACAATTGCAAAGGAAATACTAAGTTCTACGGGCCTTATAAGCAGGAATGGTAGCTTCTTTTTAGCATTTACCAAGATTTAGTTTACAGGCGGTTCTTGGTGAGTGCGATCACGTGCTCATTGATATGCTCTCGCTTTCCATCTTCCTTCCTTTTATATTTCCATTTCTATTTCTTTTCTTTTTTTTTTAAAGATTTTATTTATTTGACAGAGACACAGTGAGAGAAGGAACACAAGCAGGGGGAGTGGGAGAGCGAGAAGCAGGCTTCCCGCGGAGCCGGGAGCCCGACGTGGGGCTCGATCCCAGGACCCTGTGATAATGACCTGAGCCGAAGGCAGATGCTTAACGACTGAGCCACCCAGGCGCCCCCATTCCCATTTCTTTCTAGACCCCTCTATATACACCGCTCCTTCTTATAGTCCTTCCTGATTCCTTGTCTTCCTTCTTGGTCTTTTTTTATATACTTATTAAATGTCGACCTTACGCAACCTTGAATAAAAAATAATCCTGACTGCAGGAAAATTCCAGTCTACTAGAGATCAGAAAGTTCAACAAATAGGTGCATATGATAGATATATGGACAGGAGAAAGGGTCTCAGGGGAAGGAGTGTTCCCCTCACCTGAAATAAGAATGTTGGAAAGTAGGAAGATTCTCACAGCTAAGGTGAACCACTTTATCTGAGTTATTTTTTTTTAAGGTGGTTTACTGTGTAGACAAGGAGAAGGGCTTTTCTAGTCAATAACCTATGAGAGCAAAGGCACCAAAGCACAGAATAATCAGGTGTATTTGGGAAATGGGTAATGCAAATGCTGGAGAAGGTGAGGATGGCTGGGAGCCTGAGCCCACGCTGAGAGCTTGTCCTGAATTGGGGCAAAGCTGGGACCCCCTAAATGACGTGGGTGCCCCCTTGCGGTAGCAGAGGGAAAAAGAGAGACACCTGGTACAGCCTTTCTAAGGAGAAGCTCTTTCACACCTGGGAGTAGACAGCAGACGTGGGCGGGACGTGGCAGGTCCCATGTGTGTGTGGAGCCTGTGGGCCGTGCCTTCCTCAGCCTGCACGGTGGAGCCTAAACAAGAACAGATGGTGTTTGCATTGTGCGTGTTGAGGAAACAGATACTCAAAGGATATAACATCAGAAGGGTCTGTAACGGGAGGCACACACCTTCCAATCTGATCCGAAACAGGGGTGGGCCACCACTTACAAAGTTGTGTTGTATTCTGTTCATTCTCTCAGAAGTATGATATTTGCAGAAAGCATAAATCAGAGAAGGCTACACCTTGGAGAGCAGGTTGCTTGTTAAAGAGAGAGTCAAGATCTTTGATCTCAGTTTACAGTGTCAGTTTTTACAATTCTGTGGCCTTTCCTGTGCTCTAGGTCACCCATCTCTAAAAAAAAAAAAAAAGCCCACATTTCGTTGACGTAATAATTTAAGGGTGAAGGGGTTGGAAGGGTTGTCAGTGGAGGCCTGGGAAATACAAAAGGTGAAGAGAGATAGTGGGTCTTTCACTTTCTCGAACAGTCTTCTGAAATGTTGGTGCGTATAATCCTCTATTACCTGCTTTACAAACTGGTGGCTTAGCGCACTCACTATGTTTCTGACCAACTACACCCTCCCTTGCTCATTCTGTGCTCCTGTTTACCGGCCTGCATGTGCCCTCGAGGGTCAGGGTGGAGCGGTGTGTCTGAGAATGGCATACTGCAATCTCCCCCTTGCCAGCAGCCGTGTGGGAGGGTCCAGCCCGAGGCTCTCCCCACTCTGGGGTTGAATAGAGACGTGTTTCCAGCAGGTGACTGACATGATCTGCTTCCTGCTCTTGTTCAGCAACAACAGGCTGTGCCAGTGGAGGGAGCTGCTCGAGAACAGAGGGTTGTGGCTTTATATGACTTCCAGGCCCGCAGCAATCGAGAAGTCACCATGAAGAAAGATGATGTCTTAACTCTGCTCAGTTCCATCAACAAGGTGACTTTCCCTTCTAACCTTCTTCCCATCAGTAAGACAGCTCCTCCACGGTCAACTCTCTCAGCCCTGCCAGATATCCACATTTTGACCAAACGACATTTTTCTATCACTGTCTCTCTTAAATAACCATAATTTATTGAGTAGTATCTTTCCTCCAGGTATTGTGTAAGATCCTGTATATATCTTTGGGGTTATAATACCAATGACAGTTAACAAAATGAAGACTCAAAGAGCCTAAGTAAGTTGCCCAAAGACATAGAAACTATGAATGACAGTTTCGTGATACTAAATTATCCCTTTCTCTTCATCTCTGTTTGTCCCTGTTCCGTGCCAATGGTCCCAGTGCTGGAACAGCAATGGCTGGGGAGAGGAGGAACCTGAAAAAAGAGAAGTCTTTTGTCAACTTGGTTTTCTTTAATGTGTGAGAAACAGGTCTGTGAAAGAGCCTGTGAGAATAGGGACAAGATATTGGCTCTTTTCACAAGAGCTCAAATGATGTTTTTACATTCTAATAATTTCCAAAAATTATTGGGAAGAAAAGAAGAGAGTTTGGGATATTGTTGCCCTGAGGCAAGTGAATTTTAGAGAGGCAGGATGGATGGTCCATGATCAAATAGGCTATGTGCCAGTCCCACTTTGCTCAGGCTTCTCCTTGTTATCATGTCGTGCTCCGAGGATATTGACTCCAAAGTGTTAGTTCAGTAACACCCCCAAATTGCTCTGTGGGGCCCAGAGTGATACTTAAACACAAAGCATCCACATAAGTGAGTTTCAGGGCCATGCACAATTTTTAGGAACTCTGGGAAAGCGATGGGGAGTACATGCCCATGTCCCCATAGCCTGAGCCTGCGCCTACAGACTTAAGTTAGTTCTGAGAGTTGAAGCCTCTCTTATTTGTGTTTTTTCAAGAACTAAGGAAGGAGTGGGGATCTCTTTCTCTCTTTTCAGGACTGGTGGAAGGTGGAATCTGGCGACCACCAAGGTTTTGTGCCTGCTGTCTATGTCAGGAAACTGGCTCAGGATGAGCTTCCTACTCCCACGCAGCGGCAGCAAGGAGAACCAAGCAACATTGCCCAGCGCCAGGAACAGATTGAGAACCAGTACGTTTTAGAGGCAGGAGAACTGGACAGTACTTGGCTAAACATTTCTTACTGGCAAAGACACTTCTCATGACTCTGCAGGTGTTCAATTAGAGATGCCATTGTAAATTCTCAGATTTTAAGAGCTAAAAGTAAACTTCGAGTCCTTGAAACACTTCAGTTTTTCTATGAAAATGATTAAGTCAGTTGCCTGAGGTCAGGCACTTCATAGAGCCACTCCTTCCGGTTCCCTGCCCAGTGTTCTGAGGGTTATCAAACATCTGACTTCCACGTGAACTTTGTTTTCTCTACCAGGCTGTTTCTCACCCAGCTGTTGGCAGGCATGTGAACATCTCATGTCTATAGAAGAGGGGAGGGGTGATGCCAGTCACTATTGGAATATTGATATTTGTATTATTTTTAATGGAATCCTGTGTGTTTGTCTCTCTGCTCTCAGTGCTGTTTTCCTCCCAGTTTTGTTTCCTCCCCTCCTCTGTTCTTTTGATTTTCCCTCTCTCTCCTTCTGGCCCCTTTCACTCTCCCTGCTTCCACTCTTCAGTGTTTCCTCCGTGTTTCACGACACCATTCCCATTCTCTGTTTCTGCACGCAGGTACCACTCCCTCCTTGATAGGGCAGAAGAGCGGAGGCGTCGTCTACTGCAACGCTACAATGAGTTTTTGCTGGCCTATGAGGCTGGCGACATGCTAGAGTGGATCCAAGAGAAGAAGGCAGAGAATACCGGGGTGGAACTAGATGATGTCTGGGAGCTGCAGAAAAAGTTTGATGAGTTCCAAACGGTGAGAATGAGCAAGTTTCTCCTCCAGATGGCTTTCAGATGGTGACCCTGTTTCTGTTTATCTCAGACCTCTTCCTAAGTGGTTCCTCAACTTCACATTTGCTAAATATCCTTCCCAGAGCTGCTGAGAGTCCCACGTTTCAGATCTCCCTCTGGGTATGAGAGATGGGAGGAAAATACAGAGGAATTAGTGGCCTTGGTTCTTCAGCCTGTGGTCCCTGCCACTCCCAGACCCTCCTGGGAGTGCTGGTCTCCCTGAGTTCTTCAGCACTAGCTCCACACTGTGCTGCATTCTGGGATCCCAGGTTGAGGTGGGAGGCTGTGGGACTCTTCAGAAGCTCTACCTATGGGGCAGAAGCTGGGGTGGAAGGTGGGAAGAAAAACTTGACTTTACAGCTAGTTTCTAAGATTCTATCCACCTAAAACCATCCATCCTCAGTTCTCACAGATTCATTCCATATGTTAGCTAGAAGTGAATATAAACCTCTCCCTTCCTTTCTTTTTCTTATGATGTCTTCCACATAGAATTCAAGGCAACACATAGATAGATGATACATGGGATAGATGATGATAGATAGATGATAGATAGATAGGATAGATAGATAGATGATAGATAAATGGATAGGGAGATGATAGATGATTGTTAGATGGATAGATGGATGGATGGATAGATAGATGATAGATACATAGATGATGGATGGATAGGTAGATGATGGATGGATAGATAATGGATAGATAGATGATAGATAAATAGATAAATAGGGATTGTATATACACATATGGAATATATAAGGAAAGAGGAGAGTGAAAGGAAGGGAAGCAAGGACAAAATTATAAAAGAACACCAATAATGACACTCCCACGAGGAAGCTCATTTAGAGGCCTTTGTACAATGTAATGGATGATATCATCCCCATAGGCATTGCGATGAGCTCCTCAGAGCTATTTCTTACAATACACCTTAACACAAGCAGATTGCAACTTAGTCCGTGAAATTCTATAGAAGGCAGAGGAGTTTGTATTGGTAGGTAAGCGGCTCAGGTAATCTGGGAGAGATTTTTAATAAATCTCAGAAATTGGATGTGCTCCACACTCCAGAAAAATGGCAGCTCTCTTGCCAAGTTCTCGATAGCCAGTGGGGTCAGGGGGTTTAAAGCTACTCTTCTTAGTGGCAGATTGGAGGGCAGCTTCTTGTGCATTGCAAGTAAGGTTAGCGATATTAATATTTAGTCAAAGTGGAACAGAGATGAGCAGGCAGGTATGAAGATTCCTGAGAAGGGAATTTATACTGCTTTGGACAAATTTTCCCACCCAGGATTTGAAGGCCAATGAGCCTCGGCTGAGGGATATCAACAAGGTGGCAGATGATCTTCTATTTGAAAAGCTTCTAACACCAGAAGGAGCTCAAATACGGCAGGTAAGTAAACTCCTTCCATGTTTCCTCACTGCCAGACCGAGCTCTGGGGGTCTTACCTTTCCCTTAAATACACTCAACGTCATATTCCACAGATCAGCTAGGACAGGCAGAAGGTATAAAGCTGGCTTCAGGAAAGGTCAAAGATGATAGTTCAAGCAGTCCAGCCACGTATATATTTAAACTGATCTGAAATCTATAAATTGCAACACATGCCTCCCTCCTACCCCCAACTTCACTTACAGACACAGAAAATTCATGCTCAGATACATGAATATGAAGAAAATGTAGGTAAAAAGCTATGACAGTGGAAAGGGGCTAGTCTGGAAAGCTCACTGGAAGAGACAGGCTCTGATAAAATCTGAGAAAAGAAGGAGAAAATCATAGGTCAGTACAGACAGGAAGTTGGGCATTCTAGACCTGATTGACCTGATTTAGATTGGAACCCATGGTTCCATAAAAGATCGAATGAACATGAGTTCAGCTCTCTGGGTTGTCCTAAACCAGGGAAGATGAGTTCTCTGCCTCTTTTCTGGTGGTTAACGTGGGGTAGGAGGGAGAAGGGATGTGCATAGGAATAATTCACTTACTCTCTGCAGAAAGTAGAGCTCTAAGCGGCAGTTTGGTTTGGTCAATTCAGGATGCAGAAATATAATAGCTGCTAACTACCAAGGCAACATGTCCCACTCATCTTCTGGAGATTGGGATGTAGTCTCTGAAGCAGCCAACATCAGTTGCCCCTCTAGGGCTGGGGGTTCCATCCTGGAACATCATTTGGGGAAGGAAATTTATCCCTTTCTCAACTGCATGAATGAAGGCCAAGCACAAGTTCTCCAGAGAGGGAAGAAACCTATGTAGTTTCCAAAAGACATCCCTTGACAACCATGATTCAAACCTCATCGGGTGTTTGGACAACACTGAACTACCTGAGTTAGTTTTCTAGCTAACACCTACTGTGTCTGCCTCTTTTAGGAGTTGAATACTCGCTGGGACTCCTTGCAGAGTCTTGCGGAGGAGCAGCGCCAGCTCCTTGGCAGCGCCCATGCTGTCCAGGTGTTTCAAAGGTGAGAAGGTAGTGCTGCTCTAGATCGCACTCAAAACCCCAGTCTGATTGCTGCAGGAGAGGCCCAGCTATTAGTAGAACACGCCTGAGACAGAGATTAGAGGGGGTCAGGTGATTCTGTAGCAGATTCCTTACTCAGCACACGGGGTCCTCCCAGACAACCAGCTCAAATTTTCTAGTGCCTGGGCTTGGATCCTGGCACATAATTAGCAGTTTTCATGATAGGTAATGAAGTCGGAGTAGAGACAAGAGGTTTACATAATTACATTTCTGAACTAGCCATAGACAGCATCGAGCCACAGATACCACATCGTCTCTAACTGTTGATTCAACCATTTATTACAACTGATTCCAAATCTGTGTCTATGCACATAGCTAAGTAAGCAAGCAAACAAGCCAAATGGTAACCAAACACCTTCGCCGGGTATAATTGCATTTTTGAGTATTCGGAGAAGGGAAACAGACGTGCAGAGGGCGGCTCTGGAGTCAGGCCCCCTGGTGGTCTAACCTTGAGAAAATAGCCTCCTTAAGGCTCTGTTCTGGCCTATGGAAAGTGGGAATGTAACAGTAGCTATGCTTCAAGTAGTTGTTGGGAGGATGAAGCCAGCCTACGTTCTAGCACATCAGGAATGGGGGCGGGGGTGAGTAGAAAGGACTTCCCTGGAGCCAGCTGGGCTGCCTGTGGAATACACTGTCGATCTAAGTCCTTTACTGTCGTGAGCCAGAGAAGCAGATGAGATGAAGGAGCAGATTGAGAAGAAGCACCAGGCCCTCTGTGCTGCCGATCCCGGCTCAGACCTGTTCAGCGTTCAGGCCCTTCAGCGGCAGCATGAGATCTTTGAGAGAGACCTCGTGCCTCTGGGAGAAAAGGTGAGACATTCGCTCCCACGCTGTTCCAACACGTCCCTCTTCGCATTGACGTGTTTCCATGGCCTCTTCTTTGCTTCTATTCCCAGTCCCTTACTCTCACATTTCTCCTTCTCTTACTCCATACTTGCTCTTGCACCTGTCCCTAAGACAAGGGCACCAAAAGGACAAGGCCAGGACCTCTAATATGGAGGGAAAACATCCTGAAATGACCTCTTCTGTCCAAGTACCTCTTCAGTGGCTTCCAAGTGCCTAGACCGTGCAGAAGGCCTGCAGTCTCAGACCGGGAGGGACTGGCCACCCCCAGGATGGCCCAGGCCAGGCGTGTTACTGTTTCCTTCATAAGGAACTGACAATGCTTAATCTTCCTCGGCCTACAAGTAAGCACTGGAACTTGCCAGATGCACTCTGGGATAAATCAGAGGCATCATGCAGCTTGGCCTTATCATGCAGAGTGAAAAGAGCACAGAAGATGTCTATATTGAAAAGATCTTCACATTAAAACTCAGGACCCTTGGGCTCATAATTGATGCTGCCACTAATCAGCAGAGTCACTTAACCATCTGCCCGACACCCTCTTATCTTTTAAAGAAGTATGGTAATGTCAAGTTTGACTACTTCAAGGTGTTATCATGGGTACCAAAAGGGTTGGCATTATTTTATTAAGTAGCAAGATGTTCTCATACCTCCCTGACGTCTATTTGAGGAGTGCGAATTGCAGGGCTCAGAAGTGGTATTTTGCTAAGATTCAGGTATGGCTCTACTTGGCTGATTCTCAGAGCTCTTGCACCTCCCTAGGTGACCATGCTGGGGGAGACAGCAGAGCGGCTCAGTGAGTCCCACCCAGATGCCGCTGATGACCTGAGGAGGCAGGGGACGGAGCTGAAGGAGGCATGGGACAACCTGCTGAAGTCTTCGGAGGATCGCAAGGAGAACTTAAATGAGGCCCAGAAATTCTACACGTTCCTTATGCAAGCCAGGTAAAGCTCCAAAGGCAGGCTCCGCCAGGTGGGGTGGGCAATTTCCACGTCTGGCCCCTGCATAGACCTTCTAGGAGCAGCCTGAATATAGGTGCTCTTCACTGCTGGTTTGGAGGGTACGTCCACATCCAGATCGTACCTCTAGCGAGGCTCAAAAAGCTCAGGCTTGGTGGTTCAAGCCATAGAATACCCAAGTTTGAACGAATGTGACACTGTCTAGGCCAATCAAGTCAGCCTAGAGCATGCACCATACATGGGGTGCTAGGTCAGGAGTTGTAGAATATGGACTCTTCTTTGTACTGGAAAGAGACGAGCACAGATAACCATGGTCGAACACAATACAGCCCCAATATGCATCCTAACAAATGCATGGAACTAGCACACACAGGTCCAAGGGTAAGAAAGGTGTGGGGTGTTCAGGAAGTGGGGGCAGCAAGAGCATGTGTTTGCATGTCAGAGGGCTCAAGACAAGGATCGGGGCATGAGCTTAGACACGGAGAGATAAAATCCTGGAGAACTTCCGCTGCCTTGCCAGAAGGTCTACACATTATCACAGTGGAGCAAGCAGACACTTCGTCTGTGAAACAATTGCCACGTTCTGCCCCATCACCTCCATGTGCTGGGAGGAGCATTTGGAATTGAGGATCCAGGAAGTAGTGCCTCACAATGTAATACTTTTGGGGAAAAAAAAAAAAGAAAAGGACTTTTGGTAAATAATTGCAGTTGCTCTTGGCAGCCCCTTCCCCACTTCGGCGTCTCTGGAAAGCTATAGTTTTTCATACAATATAAATAAATAGCATCCACAGCCATCCCCCAAATCATATCTGCTCATAGCTCTCTGTACGTACAGATTCTGCTCTGACTTCAGATTCCAAGTCAAATGCTCCCTCCTTCCCTTTATGAAATACTTTATGAATAAGTAATACTCCCCCCTCCCGAACAACTCTGACACAGGCTTTTACCGCTTTATGACCCTTTTACGACCCTCTTTAATACCCATCACCAGGCTAACCCATCCCCCCACCACCCTCCCCTCTAGAACCCTCAGTTTGTTTCTCAGAGTCCATAGTCTCTCATG